AAGTTCTCAATCTGTTGGGAATTGGGGATCTCAAAGTTCTCAGCTCAGGGGAACCCCAAAGTTCTCATTCCATAGGAAACCATGGATCCCAAAGTTCTCATTCCAGGGGGATCCACTGGGAATGGGGGATCCCAAAGTTCTCCATCCATTCAGAACTGGGGATCCCAAAGTTCTCAATCCATGGATCCCAAAGTTCTCAATCCATGGGGATCCCAAAGTTCTCAATCCATGGATCCCAAAGTTCTCAATCCATGGATCCCAAAGTTCTCATTCCATGGGTCCCAAAGTTCTCAATCCATGGGTCCCAAAGTTCTCATTCCATGGGTCCCAAAATTCTCAATCCATGGGTCCCACTCCCCTCATCCCAGGGAAGGTCCCCACGTTCCCCCCTGTGCCCAAACCCCTCCAGAGTCCCAGAACCAGAACTGGGCCCTGGAGCAGCTCCTGGGATCCACCCAGAGAAATCCCCTGGGAATTCTGGATCCCCCCAGAGAAATCCCCTGGGAATTCTGGATCCCCCCAGAGAAATCCTTCCCTGGGGGAGTTTCTGGGATCTACCCCAACAAATCCTTCCTAGGAAAAGTTCCTGGGATCCATCCAGAACAATCCTTTAGTGAAAAAGCTCCTGGGATCCACCTGGAGAAATCCTTCCCTGGGAGAACTCCTGGGATCTGTCCAAAGCATCCTGGGCTGGAAGAGCTCCTGGGATCAGCCCCAACAGATCCTTCCCTGGGAGAGCTCCCAGGATCCATCCAGAGCAATCCATTCATTGGAAAAGCTCCTGGGATCCACCTGGAGAAATCCTTTGGTGGAAGAGTTGTTGGGATCCATCCAGACCAATCCTGCCCTGGGAGAGCTCCTGGGATCAGCCCCAACAGATCCTTCCCTGGGAGAGCTCCCAGGATCCGTTTCATGGAAGAAATCCTGGGATCCACGTGCTGGAAGAGCTCCTGGGATCCATCCAGAACAATCCCTTGGTGGAGGAGTTGTTGGGATCCACCCAGGCCAATCCTGCCCTGGGAGAGCTCCTGGGATCAACCCCAACAGATCCTTCCCTGGGAGAGCTCCCGGGATCCATCCAGAGAAATCCTTCAGGGGAAGAGTTGTTGGGATCCACCCAGACCAATCCATTTCCTGCACGAGCTCTTGGGATCAGCCCCAGCCCCTCCCTGGCCCTGTCCAGCCATGCCAGGGTCACTCTGTGGCCATGCCAGGGTCACTCTGTGGCCGTGCCAGGGTCACTCTGTGGCCGTGCCAGGCTCTGGCCATGCCAGTTCAGTCTCCAGCCATGCCAGGCTCACTCTCTGGCTGTGCCAGGTCATTCTCTGGCTGTACTGGGCTCTGTCTGGCCGTGCTGGGTCACTCTCCAGCTGTGCCAGGGTCACTCTCCAGCTGTGCCAGGGTCACTCTCCGGTCACACTGGGGTCAGTCTCTGGCCGTGCCCGGCTCCATGGGGCTGTGCCAGGCTCTGTCCAGCCGTGCCAGGCTCTCTTTGACAGTGCCAGGTCAGTCTGTGGCTGTGCCCGGCTCCATCCAGCTGTGCCAGGCTCTGTGCAGCCGTACCAGACTCACTCTCTGGCCGTGCCCAGCTCCATGGGGCTGTGCCAGTCTCTGTCCAGCTGTGCCAGGTCAGTCTGTGGCCACACTGGGGTCAGTCTCTGGCCGTGCCAGGCTCTGTCCAGCCGTGCCTGGCTCCGTGTGGCCGTGCCAGGTCAGTCTGTGGCCACAATGGGGTCAGTCTCTGTCCATGCCCGGCTCTCTGTGTCCATGCCCGGCTCAGTCTCTGTCCATGCCCGGCTCAGTCTCTGTGTCCGTGCCCGGCTCCCTCTGTGTCCATGCCCGGCTCAGTCTCTGTGTCCATGCCCGGCTCAGTCTCTGTCCATGCCCGGCTCAGTCTCTGTCCATGCCCGGCTCCCTCTGTGTCCGTGCCCGGCTCCCTCTGTGTCCATGCCCGGCTCAGTCTCTGTCCGTGCCCGGCTCAGTCTCTGTCCGTGCCCGGCTCAGTCTCTGTCCGTGCCCGGCTCAGTCTCTGTCCGTGCCCAGCTCAGTCCTCGGTGCCGGGCTCAGTCTCTGTCCGTGCCCGGCTCCCTGTGTGTCCGTGCCCGGCTCAGTCTCTGTCCATGCCCGGCTCCCTCTGTGTCCGTGCCCGGCTCAGTCCTCGGTGCCGGGCCGGGCTCAGTCCTCGGTGCCGGGCCGGGCTCAGTCCTCGGTGCCGGGCCGGGCTCAGTCCTCGGTGCCGGGCCGGGCTCAGGGCGTGTACGCAGGCGGGGGCTGGAACTGATTGACCACGTCGTAGTCGGGCCCGTAGGGCTCGGCCTCCTCCATCTCGGAGAGCAGCTCCAGCGCCTGCTCCTCCTCCTCGCTGGGGTAGTGGCGCAGCAGATTGGCCGCCGTGGCCAGGATGGAGGCGCCGCCCGCCCCCGCCACCAGGTAGAAACTGACGGCGAAGGTGACGAACACCTGCGAGCCGTGGTACTTCTTGTGCTGCTGCTGCTGCGCCAGGAGCAGCTCCGAGGCCCAGTAACAGAACCCGATCACCGTGGCACACTGCAGAACTGCGGAGAAACGGGGAAAATGGGTTAAAAATGGGGAAAAATGGGTGATGTTGGGATGGATTTGGGGTCTGGGGTCCCCAGTAACAGAACCCGATCACCGTGGGGCACTGCAGAACTGCGGAGAAACGGGAAAAATGGGTTAAAAATGGGGAAAAACATGGGAAAAATGGGTTAAAAATGGGTTAAAAATGGGTTATGTTGGGGAAAAACACAGAAAAAATGGGTTGGAATGGGGAAAAATACAGAAAAAATGGGTGATGTTGGGGGAAAACCACATTAAAAATGGGTTACAAGGGGGAAAAACCACATTAAAAATGTTTTTTATTGGGGTGGGTTTGGGGTCTGGGGTCCCCAGGAACAGAACCCATCACTGTGGGGCACTGCAGAAC